ACACACACAAACATATATATATATATATTTATATATTATAATATATAAATTTATTTGAGCTATGGAAAATGAATTGGATTTAGTAGCATATGACCTGGCAAGGATGAGACCTGGGACAAAAACTGAGCTAATGCCATCAAATAAATGTAGATTGTGAGGTGACCAGAGTAAAGATGAGAAAAATCAGTTTAAAAGTATTAAAGTTCATACAACAGATTTCAGGGAAATATTGATGATTCTGCCAAGAGACTTTAATCTGATATCAAGTGACTTTAATTTGACTTAATGAGAATGTTAGAAGGTCATCCTTGCACGTGCCTGGCAGCAGGGATCCATGCTTAAATCTTATTTGGCAGTTGTTGCTTCGAATTTCTCACATGTGAAGATGCATTGCATAAAGCCTTAAGCTCCTCTCCTTTGGCACTGGAGAAATGGACAGAAAACATGACATGGATTCTAGCAGGAACAATGCCAACTCTAAGAAAAAAAATTAGCCTTTTCATCCCAGAGATTGTTCCTAATGACTTAGTCAACTCATTCTCCCAAGTGTTATTCTCAGGATTGGTAATGAGGTGCTTTAATAATGAGGTCCCCAAGCTCTCTGCTGTTTTGACTGTGTCTTCTGCCATTGACCACTTGGGAATAGTAAATACCATTTGAGGGAGAGACACTCAGCATTTGGGACAGAACTCTGATCTCTTATTAAGAGCCCCCAATCCAGACTTATTGCATTGTGACATGAAGATAGGCTTTTTCCAGTGCGTGGCCCTGTAAAAATCTGGTGGAACATATTGTGACATATCCTGTCCTTCACTTTGATTTCAGATACAGGAAGACTGAGATAGGCATTGATTCCTTCCTGTCTAAATACTTGGTTTTGGATATGGCATGTTGGTGGTATCCTGAGATTTGCTAACAAGAAGAGATTCCTATTAAACAGTAGCTTTTCTCAGTAAGACTTCAGTGATCCTCTCATTAGGAGACTCAAACTATTCATGGAAATAGTATTGTTTTACAACATTAGCTAAAGTAAAGTAACAGGAAGTTTTTAAATAATTTTATAAGTGGCATTGATGAAAGTCTTGAAAACATTTTATAACTATTGGTAGAAATCTGTAATATTTTAGGACAGCCAAATTTCCAACATGGTGAATGTGACTCAGGTATGAACTCAACTCTCTAGAAGATGCAAGAAGAAGATTACCTGGTGAGTGTCTTCGTAGAATAGGGCATGCTAGGATGGGAGATGTTTCCTAGGGCATACACTCAGTTATCTCATGACCAGTGAAAGTCTATAGAAGAAGAGATACATAGTCTCTCATAGGGAAGAATATGACTTTTAGGAATCTGAAAATGTAGATGAATGTATTATGTAATGTAGAGAAGAGCAACATAGAATGCTTGAAAGATCTTTAACTGAGTCTGATACCAAAGGCTATTCAAGAGTGTAAGCTCCATGAGTGTGAAGATCATCTTGGTCATTTTTTTCTTCCTAGCACTAATATAATACTTATACTTTGTAACTAATGAACACATTAAACTTAAGAAATGGTCTTGCTGGGTAAAATTACAGAAAATTTTGGTTTGTTTTTAACATAAACTATAGGTTAAAAAATTCAGGAAGCAACAGGGTAAGTTTCCTTTGCTAGGAAAAAAATATGAAGAATATATTCATCTAAGATTGGGCCAGGGACAGATCTTGTTTTGCTTTTTTGTCATATTTGGGGAAAAAAGTAAAGGCTATAAAAGTTCCAACTCAAAATTTATTATCTGAATTTTGTAGGTTTTGTCCATCTCTGCATTTCTTGTCTTTTTTCTCTTGTCTTTTCCTCATAACCTGTATTTCCTAGAACCTAAATGAATAATCCTATTCTTACCAGTGATTTTAATGTATCACTCCACTTTGCACTCCTTTACTGATTATTCTGTTAGAATTTCCCATAAACTAATGCTGGGGTAGAGTTTTTTTAGGGTGTTAGTAATTTACAATTGACTAATTGTCTTGAGGAGGAGGAATCAGGAGTACAGGCCATAGGCATGAATAAGGTATTCTGATCAGTAAACTGGAATTAACTTTAAGAACAATGTGCATGAATTTGAATGTATGTAAGTGTAATGAGACTATGATTTAATATTAGTGGGCTCCAAACCATCAACTGTAACACAGCAATGGCTGTGTATATCACTTCAGATTTTTCCTAGTTATATTAGTTGGATGACCTATTCTGATCCAAAGGAGAGGGCTGGAAGCATAGTTCAAGTAGTAGAGCACCACCTAGAAAGTGAGGGACCCTGAGTACAAACCCCAGTACTACTACAATAAAACAAAACAATGGAAAAAGCCCAGAAACTGATCCAAGGGAGAAGTAAAATGTTGAGCATTACCAGGATAGGAATTAAATTAAAACTTGTCTTCTACCTAATGCACACCCATGTAGGACAGCATATACAGCAGTATATAAATCTGATTGATGCACTTTCAGAAAGGGCTTTAAAGAGTGTGAAAAAATCCATATGAGCATATAAAAGGGAAATGATAAAATCTGTAAAACCAAGTTTGAGGTGTACTTAAAAGGATTGTTTACAAATTGAGGAATGTTTGATTGATTCTCTCACCTCCAATCCTACTCTGTCTCCCTTACATATTTAAAGTTACTTGTTTGTGAAAAATAGAAAGAAATAATCACTATGATTTGTTAAGGGCTTCCTGTGTTTTGAATGCCAGATCAAATTCTTCACATACATCAATCTATTTAATCTTCATGACAACTCTGTGCTATATTACTGTAATCAACTGAAAGTGACTTTGAATATTGTGCTGAAAATTTTGAAGAGCAATTGAAAGGTATTTATACAGGAGTGTTCAATGAGCAGCTAATTCAGAAGAACCTAATGGCAACAGTCAAGAAGAAGACATTGCTGTGATCAACTGATACTAGGAAAATGAGTTAAAAGGCAATTTCAGTGGCATGGTGAATGAGGATAGGCATCAGAAGCTAGGTGTTGGTAGAAAGTATAAAGAAGATGAGTCAGAGAGGAGAGAGTCTCTGGAGGCACAACCTTTGGGGTGGGTGGAAAAAGGAAGGGAAGTAGTTCAATTGACTCTCAACTTTCTGAATAAAGGTAATGGTTAAACCTGATAAGTACAAGGTTAAATCTGAACACTATACTCTCCAAAGCTGGGTTCAATTGTATAAGACTTTACTAGATGGGCCAGCCCCTTTTTATTCCTAATCCAGGGTAGAATATGCAGAAATGAAGTAAAACATAGGACATCTGGTCCTTCTCTAATAAAATGAATATTCTCTTTGCTGTCACACTAGGAGAGCCCATTGTCTGCTTGAAGGGACATCATCAGGCTTATTCTATTACCTTTCATTTCTGTGACTCAAATTCAAGGAGACAAGCTTAATATCTATAGTGCATTATGCAATCATCTTTCATGATGCTAGAGGGAAGTTGTTGTAGTGTCTATGATAAAACTAGCCAGAAAAAGTTTTCTTTTTTCTTCTCTTTCAGGATGACATGGGATGGCAGGTGCTGGGCTTTGGGCAGTGATGGCTAGGACTAGACTAGGAGTCTGGGGGGAACTCATTCCAGGGACATTGTGGAGTACTGGGTACTGAATGGTTCTGACAGGGTAGAAAGAGTCTCAGACAATTTCTTATCTTTCACTAACTCGCTGTTCATTGGCTCTTGGGGGACTAACTGAAGACATGTTGAGGAATTTCTAAAGCTGGGTATATTTGATGTCTCACTTGCCTCTCTCTTATCTAGACTCAGCTCTCCAACGTCCAAGTAGTTGTTTCTTGATTTAACAGTTTTATTGAGGCATAACTGATGTCCAATCAACTATACATTTTATGCATACTTCTGATGAGTTTGACCAGAGGAATACACCTACTAAATTATCACCACAATCAAGGTAAAGGCCTTTCTAGCACCTTCAATCATTTCCTTGTGATCCTTGTGTTTTTTTTTTCTTTTGTAGTGAGACCCTTAGTACGAAATCAATTCTCTTAAGAAATTTTTAATTTTACAATGTAGTATTATTGACTATATGTACTATGTTGTATGGGAGATTTTAAAAATTCATTGTACATTGCTAAAACTTTATAGCCCTTGAATTACAACTCCCTTTTTATATTGTTTTGTAACCTGGTAAATATTACTCTCTTTTTAAATCATTTTTCTTTTTTCTTTTCCACATATGCATGAAATCATGTAGCATTTGTTCTTCTGTGGCTAGCATATTTCACTTACCCTAATATCCTCTAGGTTTATCCATGTTGTTGCAAATGAATGATTTCTTTTGTTTAAGGCTGAAAACATTTTATTCCATGTATATATCACATTTTCCTTATTCACCTGTTTATGAACATCCAAGTGATTTCCGTAAGTTTTCTATAGTGCAGTGTATCACAATAAACATAAGTGTACAGATACCTACCACCCTGAGGCTCTGCTTTCAATTCAGGTATATGAAAAGTATTCAAAAATCACTAATCATTAGAGAAATACAAGTCAAACCACAAGGAGATGTCTTTCAACAGTTACGATGGATGTTTTTAAACAAATATTACCAAGAGATGACAATTTTCGGAAAGGATTTGAACATCATTTTTCAATATCCTTATAAATCTGAACACAGAATTAACATATAGTATAGCAATTATGATTTCAGGCTACACAACTGGTATGTTGAAATCAGGTAACAGTTTCTACCAATTTCTTTCTACCTTGCCTCTCATCTCCATCTCTAATCTCAATCTCAGGACCCAGGGTAACCCTTGAACAGTACCAAAGAAGAGAGTGGGCAAAGAGGAGAGAAACTGGACAATAACTGAACATGAACATTGGTGACTCTGGGGTCTGGAGCTTGCTCAGAGTGGACACACACTGAAGGCCGTTAAAGGCCTTGGTCTAATCTTCTGTTTCAAGTTTAACTCGTCACACCTTTTCTTCCTCTTCCCAACTGCTTCTAACCTGCCCTTGTCTCAATGCTAAAATCAAACTCCACTTTTGTGACTGAGTTCCTCTTTGAAGGTTTCTCCAGCTTTGGGTGGCAGTACAGGCTTATCTTCTTTGTTGTTTTTCTAGCATTGTACCTACTGACTCTGTCTGGAAACATGATTATTGTGACCATTATACATCTTGACCGACGGCTTCGTATTCCCATGTACTTCTTCCTAAGCACGCTGTTCATCTCTGAGACCTGCTACACTGTGGCCGTCATTCCGCGTATGCTTTTTGGCCTCCTGAATCCTCACCAGATGATTTCTTTTCAAGGTTGTGCCACCCAGCTCTTCTTTTATCTAACTTTTGGCATCAACAACTGCTTCCTGCTCACAGCCATGGGATATGATCGCTATGTGGCCATCTGCAACCCCCTAAGGTATTCAGTCATCATGGGTAAGAGGGCCTGTGTCCACTTGGCCTCTGGGTCATTAGGAACTGGACTGGGCATGGCCATTGTCCAGGTAACATCTGTGTTTGGCCTGCCCTTTTGTGATGGCTTTGTCATCTCCCACTTCTTTTGTGATGTGAGACCCCTGCTGAAGCTGACCTGCACAGACACCACTGTCAATGAGATCATCAACTTTGTTGTCAGTGTCTGTGTGCTTGTTCTACCCATGGGCCTGGTATTCATCTCTTATGTCCTCATCATATCCACCATCCTTAAGATTGCTTCAGCTGAGGGGAGGAAGAAGGCCTTTGCTACCTGTGCCTCCCACCTCACAGTGGTCATCATCCACTATGGCTGTGCCTCTATCATCTACCTGAAGCCTAAGTCCCAGAGTTCTCTGGGACAGGACAGACTCATCTCAGTGACCTACACTGTCATCACTCCTTTGCTAAATCCTGTGGTGTACAGCCTTAGGAACAAGGAGGTCAAAGATGCTGTGTGCAGAGCTGTGGGACTAAAACCCCTCTCACCTTAATCAGGACCACTTTGAATGCCTTTTTATGAGTACACAGATACATATTTACTTTATACTATTTTAATAGTGTCCTTAATTATGAGATCAAAAAAGGTATACTAAGTTGAACAGAGTCTTAAGTCAGGGGGCTTTCTTTTGTGTAGTTATGCTTCACTGGGTCTTGCTCTAGAGCAATAAGAAAATGAATAGGCATACACTGATGAAGACAGTGGAAAGGTTCACATGTCTGTGCTACTCATACCCGGTGCGCTCATGTGCACCGTAGCTATACACTTCCTAAGAATACTTTTGGTTACTTATACAATTGTAGTACAACATAAAGTTCAACAGGGTCCTAAAAAACATGACAAATGTGTTCTTTTGTGTTTTGGTTTGGATTTTTGCAGTACTGGGACTTGATGTCAGGGCCTCATGATTTCTAGGTAGGAACTCTACCACTTGAGCCTTTCCACCAGCCCACAAATGGTTTTGAACATACTTCAGAAAGAATTGTTTGTTGTCATTAAGGGATTCAGAGTAAATTTTGCAACCATTGGAATAAGTAAGTGGGGAGACATACATGCCTATGACTTCCTTGCAAGTCTTGCTTATATTATTTTTGATACCTGCTAAAATTGCATCACAACTAAGGAATCATCAAAAGGCTGGAAATACATCCTCTACATGAATGGAGCTGCCCTTACTGATCTGGAAATAGTGAGTCAAATGTTGGAAAGCAAAAACTTCAGCTACAGAGAATACAGAGTTGTGATGTCCATATTTCTGAAATGCCCAGGTAAGAAAACTCAGACTGAAAAGGAGAACATGCCAAAAAAATTGAACATTTTTCTTATTCTCAACTTAATAGTAAAGAAGATAGAGGTTGGAGAGAGTCAAGTAAAGGCAGAGTTCCTTTTGTAGGGTAGACCTAAGCTCTCTGAAATGGTGTTATAAACATAAGCACTTTAACTACAAAATGGACAATACTTGTTGGTGAACAGAAGTATAATTTTAACAGGAAGATGCTAAAACTGCTGTGGCTAATTGTCAGAAGTATCTTGGATTCATTCAGCTCTACCCGGAGTCCAATGCATTATTTCATGTCTACACTTCACAGAGGGTGAAAGCTCTGGTGCAAGGAAGGATCCTGTCTCTCATCCTTCTATTCTGTTCTGGCGAATGAGCACACCCTGAGTTTCAACAGTTCATGTGGCATCCAGAATCCATCAGATTTTGTGACATGACCTTGCAGAGGCAAGATATCACTTGTGAAAGTATCATCAAATCTGCTTGGTGCAGATTAACATATGCTGCTTTGAAAAAAGAAACTGGCAAGTGAAATCTAACTAGGGATAAAAGGTATCTTTGCCTTAGTGTCCAGATTTCCAGAAATGATAGTTAGTTCATTTCTGTGCAGTTGGGCAAAAGCAATTCAAAAAATCATGCTTAGTAATTCTTTTGAATGTAGTTCAAGAAAGTAGAGTCTCAATGGTCAATGACACACAAACTCCTTTCTGAAGAGGGATTTGCTGGGTATTATGGTCTATCCCTAAACATGCACCCACTAGGTGCTGATAGGACCTTGGGTACAGGGCTTTCAGTGAGTCTCCTTTATGAACTGTTCTTGCTAAGGAGCTGCTTTCTCCAAGTTCATGCTACCTTTTTGGAGGGAATCTTGCCACCAATGATTTGTCTATTTCAGGGTATTTCCTATCTTTCAGACAATTCTTAATAACTTTTCATGGTCCAGAGCTCTTATCTGTGAGGTGGCTTGAGGATTTTTTTCTGTGGCTGCCTTACATTTGAACTATTTTTCTTTTTCAACCCTGCTTCATTTCTGTACAGGAATCGATACTGACAGCATCCCCTTCCACGATTAGCTTGCTGCAGTCAAGTCTGTCTTGATGTACTTCTCAGGGTTCCTGATCTGTACCATTTTAGAATACAACTTATACAACAGTAATTGACATAAAACAACTGATTAAATTTTTAACCATTATATACTCTAGTGAAAGAAATTCAGTAGTTTCTCTATTTGAATTTTTTAATGATATCATGCTTATTGAGCTATATTTGACGTGACTCAATTTAGTTGTTAGTGCAGTATTATCTTCTTGGAACTGGTCAAAAAAATGTGAATTTTTCTCAGAACCCATAAGAAGTCCTTCCTTCCTCTTTTTCTCCCTCCCTCCCATCCTTCCTTTCTTCATTACTGGGAATCAAGCCCAGGCTCTTGAATATACTAGATGAATGCTCTACCACTGTGCAGGAAGTCACTTTTTTGTCTTCTAAAGACTCTCTGTGAGGAATTTTATTTTCATGCAGCCTGGTACTACTACATTTCCAAGAGAATCTTGCTCACTGACAGTGCTGTGATGAACATCAGGAAAGACTGACAATGGGTCTATGCCATTCCAGTTTTCAAGAGGGAAAGAGTGTGGGCCCTGTAAATTTATATATACTTGGTAGTGATCTAGGATATATTTGTAGAGTAAAAGCTTTTGCATGAAGTACTAGATGGGTGACTTTCCAGAGCTTGGCACATAATCTAGGGCAGCAGGACAGTATCACTTCAGAGGTCATCCAGGACCTGGCTGTAAGGTGCCTCTGCATCCACCAAGCTTCATCTCTAGGTTCAAAGAGGTGCTTATTTTCTTCATTTCCCACTGAATGAGAAGAGAGAAAAAGCATAGCCCTCCTGCAAGGACTTAGTTCCCCGATGTGCTGACCAGATGCATGTTTTGTCTGAGTCTCCAATCAGGAGGCTGGTGGACAGTGGAATTTGTCTTATGTTAGACACAATAGGGAGCTGCTGATTTGATTTTCAGAAAATCCACCCCTTCCTACCAGGGAGGATTTGTAGTGCCGTCCTAGGGACAGCCAGTGTTACTCTATGCTCTAGCCTAGAACAATTTGGTAAAAATCAGAAGTCACAGAGGAAGTCAAGTGAGTAAAGCTTCTTAGTCATCTGTATAATGTATTTCTTTGGCATAGATAAAAACATTTCATATGTATTTTAGTAAAAACACCCCTTTAAAATGGTGTAGTTTGTAAGTTCACATAAATCACTTCTATTTTTGAAATGAACTATTAAGATCCATGGAGGTATAGGAAGATATTTTCCAAATCATAAACCTAGAAAGTGGAAGAGTCGGGATTTGGATTCATGTCTTCTCTGGTATGATTTAGTGGCTTTCTAGTGGATGGCTTTTTAAGAGGCAGAAACTTTATTCCTTTCACTTTGTGAAACAGACCTGGGCCTTCTATAAATGTTGTGAGACATAAAGTGAATAGGAAAATAAGCAAACCAAACTACTTATTCCTTTTGCTTGAGAACCTATTCAGTCTTTGACTGTTTTCAGACTGAGTTCTCATTACTATTATTTGCTGGAATTTTTTCCAAATTGCTTAGTTAAGGTACTCTATAGAGATATAATGTTTAAATTCAGGAAATAAATTTGGGGTATAAGTTTCCTTTTTAATGTATATTTTCCCTGAGTTTAGAATTCTGCATCAGTATTTATTATCATTCAGCACCGTGATAATGTCATCCCATCGATTTCTATTTTTAATTATTGGTATTAAAAATCCAGTTAATGGCTTTCTTTTCTTATATTCCAATGATGATTACAGCAGTTTTCTATTTCTGCATAACAAATACCTTGCATATAGTAGATTAAAAAATATATACATTTATTATATTTCAGTTTCTTTGGTTAGGATCTAGAACTGGCTTAACTGGATGGTCTATTCAGGGTCTTACAAGTCTGTAATTAGTGTCACCAACCTGTATTCCATGCTGAAGTGTAGCATTCACTTCTAAACTCATGTGGTTGTTGATAGAATTTAATTCCTCATGGTTATAGAACTGAAGGTGTTTTTCTTTCTGGCCATCAGCTATGACTGGTTGCTCACATTTTTTTTTGCATATGGCCCTCTCATAAAACTTCTTAAAACACAGCACTTTACTTCTTCAAAGCCAGCAAAGAAGTGTATCTTGTACATGCTAATGGGGTACAGTGTGATAATTCTATACATGTAGACAATGTGTGATGATAAGATGGATTTTTATGTAGTGTGTTTTGAGCATGGGCGTGACATCCCATCATCTTTGCCCTATTATATTAGGTAGAATCAAGTTAGATTCTACCTACAGTCAAAGGGAGAGTGTTACTCATTGTGGATCACCTTGGGAAGAATATGCTATAATTTATAATTATCTTAAAATTGTATTTATGAAGTCAATATAGTTATATTCTGAGTGTATTTCTACAGTGTGCTTTGTTTTCTTCCTGAGTTTTAACCCTTTATTCCTCTCCTTATAATTTAGTACATTTTTTGGCATCCTGAACACTCTATATCAATGGTCCTCAAATTTTTCTGAAGAAGATCCAGAAAATAAATACTTTAGGGTTTTTGAACTGAAATCTCTATGGCATTAAGTTTTTCCATAGTGACATGACAGCAATCATAAATAATTCATAAATTAATGAGTATGGTTGTGGTTCAAAGAAAACTTATTTGGTTTAGTGAAATTTGAATATTTGTGTCACAAATATAATTTTTCTTTTGTTTTTATCAATTTTAAATTTAAAACTATTGTTCAGCTTATAGTCTATATATAAACAGGTGGTGTCCACATCAACTGGCAGGCCAGAGTTGCCTATCCATGCCCTATATCAATAAATTATGAAGACAGTTGGAGTTCTAGGGTTATATTATTTTCTTCTAATAAGGATTTGAGTTTATTTGGCAGATGGTTAGATTAGGGACAAGATCATATTTATCTAACTAAGTATTACTCTAATTTGAAGCTAGTTTTTGTGTTTGTGAGGGTTAATTTATTTCCACTTACGTTCTCATGTATAAGAATGTGGAGACTGCCAAAATGCTCTACTCAGTGTCTCAGGTCTTCTAACCATGACTACAAACAACAAATGATAATTCTTCAAGCAAACTACAAAGAATTGAATACCAGCCTAACATTTCTGAATATCCTTCTGGATTCTTGGCTCCTCAAA